ATCCATTAAGGAGAGTCTTCCGTATTAATTTTAAATGAACTTTCTAAACCGAATAATTTTATTCACTGTGACATTACATCAAAAAAAATTATTTTTAATAATTTAATTAAGCGAAAAATTGTGCAAAATTTAGTCTTCATAAATAATGAAGTGAACTCGGTATGGGAAAGGGCAAACACTTTCCTGCAATATTAATGAGGATAAATATTTGAAAAAGGCCTAAATTTGGGATAAATTCAATTACAATACCAAATTCAGTCAAGGAAATTGTGTCAACGGGTAAGAACTTTTTTCAGTATCTGTTTATTTTATTTTATTTTTTTGTGTGAAGGGTCAACAACTTTTTAATATTTGCCATAGAACAAAATTATGTTTAATATAAAAGTGTTACAGAAGAATAAATTAAATTAATATAATAATATTTTACGCGATTTTAATGAATCATAAAAAAAAAGGTCAAGACTTCAGTAGTTTATAACAGTAATTATAATGAGCATAGATTTATATAGAAACCTTTTCTTTGATCTTTAATTAATGTTTTACAAACCTAATGGTATAATATATTAACCATATATGAAATTTATCAACATGTCTGTAACCGATGGAGGCTATAGAGCTAGAGAAATATTATGTAGCGATATTCCTGTCCATAATTATTTTAGAAGCCTTATTTTGATTTTCAATTTTCTTTTATTCTCTTCAAAATATTACTTATTATTGGTATATTAAATTTATCGTTATATTGATAACACTGTTAAAATGCAGACGAGGGCTAGAGAAATTGCATATATTCTTACACAGTACATTGACTGTCTGAATGTTTGATGTTTGTATATTGTTATATTGTTTATCGTGTTTTGAAATTTATTGGCTTTATGACTAAATTGTATATTAAAAAAATGATTTTATTTAGAAATGTATAAAAGAAATTAAGTTCTACATTAAATAAAAAAATATTTACATAAATATATAAATAAAAGCGATCAATCCGAAAGGCTATAGATTTAAGATAATTATTGTTGTATACTTATATTTTAAGCTTAATAAAGAAAAAGTATTAACTTGTCGTTGAAAATTGCTTTATTGTTTCTCGAAGTATTCTCCTTTACGATTAATACACTTTTGCATGCGATCGAACCATTTGTCAAAGCATTTTTCCCAGTCTTCTTTAGACACCTCCAAAACATAGTTTTTAAATGCATGCTTCTTCCGCCGACAAAAATCGTTCTCCATGCAATTTATTCCTGACGTTCGAGAACAAGAAATCATTTGACTGTATGGCCAAATCAGAACTGTACGGCAGATGTCCCATCAATTATATTTTTTGAATGTTTAAAATATTCAAATAGTCGGTTATTAGACGAGATATGTGAATATTCGCATTGTCTTGATGGAGATAGAGAATGATCTGACGACGCTTATTTGTTTTTCATATTTCACTGAAAACTTCCGATAAACGGTAAACAAATGTTTGTATACCATTCGAAATTGACCGTTTTATGTTTCTTGTTATAATAAGCGACCATTTGTTTCGAAGTGCTCGAGTGCGAACAATTTTTATTGAATGTGGTTCATCTTGAAACACCCATACAGTCGACTGCTGTTTACCTTCCAATTCATAGGCATATATCCATGATACGTCACCTGCTACAATCTCATGCAAGTATTTTAAAGCACCGCCATTGTACTTCTTGAGTATTTGTGTGCTGTGTGCACCAATCGATACGGACATCTATTTGAGATTTTGTCAAATGATGTGCGATCCAACGAGATTTGTCACGCCTAAATGATCATGCAATATTCTATATATGATGGTGGAATTAATAAAGTAATAACAAAAAAATATATACTTAACATGAATTTTCGTACTTAATTGAATTTATAAAATTAACGAAGCAAAACCCTTTTTTTAAATCACTTATGCAATTTGTGCTCTTTTAAATTCCATACCCCTTACAAAGATTAAACATAATACAGTAATTTGTGATACATCTTCCATTTTTTTGCTAATTTATTATTTTTTTGTGCATATTCTAAAATGGATCATTAAGTACTTGCATTAGTTACTACCATAAGTTATAGAAAACATTGCCAAGTCAAAGGAAGTAAATTAATTAAATGGAAATGCCAACCTTTCTGAATATACTAATAAACTATAGTTAGGTATTTCTGTGGAATGCTTCTGCATAATAATTCACAATATTGAAATGTTTGTGGAATGTCTCTGTAAAAACATTTTCAATGTTAAAATTTTCACAACATGCCTACACATAAAATGTTTCAAATTCTTTAATTACGGAAACATGTAGGTGGATTATATAATATTTCGTATGTATATTTAAGGTATTTATTTTTATTTATTATGAAACTAAATTTTCTTTTAAAATTGCATTTTTCTTCATAAGTACAGTACATTATGACGTAAAGTGTATTTTTTTTATTAGAAGTAAATATTGTATTTATAATTAATATTGAAATGTTCAAAAGTTGTTTTATACTATATCTCATCAAATATTTATTTAGCAATTAATAAAAATATAGTTAAAAATCAATACTTATTGCTGTACGCCATTCCACTTGCCTTCTTTATATATAATATTAAAATGCTAAGTCATTAGAGTAATTCCTTAACTTTTTTATTGGAGATTAAAATTTTTTTATCATTTTTAATTAGCCCCTTCGAAATAGATAATTTTTATGTTATGCCTTATTGCTTGAGCACTTCTTATATATAGAAAGTAAAACAGATGCAAAAAAATTTTAATAATTATTTCATACTCATTTTTTTATATATATATAAATATATGTTTATATATATATAAACAGTTATCTACAAAAAGTTTTAATCATTTAGATCATTCATTTCAATATTTTAATTCTATAATTATTATTCTGTTGCTAACGTTGTCGTTTCGTTCATTACTACTCATACATCTTTTTTTCGGGACTCTGATATGTGTATATAGGAACTGTTATATATTTTCACAGCCTTATGTATACATTCAAGTTAAATTGAGGAATAATGTTCTATTGGTAGAGCCAAAAAGTAGCAACGCAAATGTAAAAAGTCAGTAAATTAAGCTCAATAAAAAAATTCGTAAAATTGAAATACTTTACACATTACCATAATACTTAAGATTAAGTTCTTTGTAAAGTGTAACTTACTAAGATATATCTCTAATTTTACCATAAAATTTGATAGCTAATGGGTAATATCAAATGAACTTCCTAAATAGTTTGCATCTAAAACAACTATAGAAAATAAATTTTATATATCATCCAAGATTAACAACACAATTCTGACAAAGATCGTTAAAGTCTTTGGTGAGATCTTTGCAAGATCGACCATTAGACCATTTGTAAGATTTTAGCTATTCTGGCACAAAAATTTTTCAAAAAAGTTTTATCATTTGTAATTCATGGGAGAAAGATTTTTGCTCTATTTCATTAGTGGTGAAAATAATAACAGCTGATAATCGTGACAAAAACAAATTAGTTTCAAGATTATAGCTTAAATATATATAAATGAATAAATAGATGAATTAATCAATGTTAAATATATGTTAATAAATATTAGAATTTAAATATTTATATAATTATAAATAAATATATAAAATACATATTTTAAAATTTTTATAGAGACAGTAGAGTATACCAACACATTTACGTTTACGTCGTACAAAAATGAAGTAAAAAATGTTTTATTTTTACAAATTTCTATTAATTAATTAGTTATTAACTTTTATATATTTTATTTTATATAACAAAAAGTCTATAGACGAAAAACACAAACAAAATCTTCGCTGACTGTTGAAAGAACTAATCAATAGCATATCTTTCACTTGGTTTATAGAAAAACCGAAACGAGCTTTCAGTCTTGAAAAACATCACTGCCAGCATATGAAATATCTTTCAAACAATCTTTTGCAAAATTTTTATGTATGATGAGCTGTAAGATCGTTGCCAGAATTGCCCTGTTAATTTAAAGTTTGTACGATCATATCCTTTAATAGATATGTGAACTATTTAGGATAATAGAGGAAATCACCAATACGGTGACTAACAATTCATGGGTTAACCGCAAAGACTGTTAACCCTTATGGCCTAGTTTGCACAATAATAAAACGAAAAACCTTTTAGGCTTCAGCAAACCTGCAGTTCGTGTACTTTCTAGATTACTAACGGGGAACTGTGTCATTGCGTCTATGCAGTGACGTGGTGACATCTAAAAACCCATCACGACCCATCTAAAAATCTAATCTTATCTAACCCTGTGTTATTTATTTTCTTATTTTAATCATTTAACACTTAACATCCCACGTATTTCAAACAATTAAACCCTGCTATAAAAAGGCTCTTAAGAGTTCATAATACTGCAAATTTCATATATTCACTAAATGAAACTATTTAATTTACTAATGAGTTTGCTTAATACCTATAAAAAATATATACAACAAAGATAAAACATTTTTATGTGCACATTAAAAGGACTCAAGTGTAAACAAGTTGGGTTATCCATTGCTTATTAACTCGTCCATTTAATCGCGTCGACCCACTTGTAAACCGTAGAACAAATTACCCTCTTTTTAAAAAACTTAATGCAACAGAAATAAATTTTAAGTGTAAAAAAAGTAATTTTTTTTAAGTCCTTTAAAATGTATGTAGTCTATTTTAATATACTACTTCTAGCAAAAATATGCATAAAAGGTTGTCGTGTCCATT